CCAGTTGTCACAGGCTTCTGGTCACATTCTTCAGTAAATTGAGGAAGGCGGATTATTGCCATGTGAAATAGTAACAGAGTTTCGGCATCAGTTTGTGTTAACTATGTCATATATCAGAAGACTGTTGAGAACTTTTGCGTAAGGGCGATCGCGACAGGAAGAAGGGCTGGTAGGTTACAAGCTCCCACATATTCTGTTCACGCAAACGCAGCGCCGCTCGACTTAAGAACGCTACGGACTGCTATAACTACCTATTGTCTAATAGTAAGCTATGTAAACACCCAACGAAAGATTTGTCCTCGTATCCGAGAGACTTAGCTTTATTTGTGTCTAAAGCCTACGTTTTCGGCATCCGAATGCTATCAATACGAGAACGACCACCAATATTGAATGCTAAATTCCTCGTTCTGGGCAGATCTTCGAACGAAAATCCGGTGCTGGTCGAACTAATTTTAATAAAAGTGCTTTGTATGCATAAACGGTTGAAAACACCTCTTTTACTTGGGAACTCCGTCATGGATTTTATTTGCAGCATGGAATTTAAATAACCTACTTATTTGCCCAAGGTTTGGAGACTAGAGCGTTATGCATACCTCTCGTTCCGAAATATATTTACCAGTACCTTTAGAATGAGTATGAAGCGTTCCTGCTCATATATGGCGGAGATATTCCCCCGTGCTGGAAAAGATTATAAAAGCTGCTGAAGATTCCATAGACTGATGAAAATATCCAATAAAAATGGGCGATGTATTTAACATGAGAGGATGTCGAACTCATAAGCTGCCAGAGCCATCTGTAGCAGCGGTTGTGCCCACAGTAAAAAAGTCAAGAAGCATCTTTTTTCAAAAAAACAAACAAATTTTTAATAGCTACACACAAATGGTCAACAGAGGTCGTGTTTTAAAGTCATCGTGCCTTTTGTTTACTTTAGGAGAGGAGTTCATTTTCATAATTATTTGTCTATGCTGGTAAAAAAGCCGCCGAAGCAAATCGCTGGTCTTGCTTCACGGTTTTGCGTTCTTGGATGTTGAACGGGAGATGAGTTTATGTAATCTCTTCGTTTTATTAGATGCCTTGAAGATGCATAATAGGATGTCAACCGCATTCTTGCAATTTTAGATAGCAGTTTACTTTTCCATCCTTTTTGTCCTTTGTACCTTTTTCAATCATGTCTGGACACATTTGACAGTTGTTGGCAGACAACAGGTTATGTTTATAGTGCACATTTATACAGAATGATAAAAGAATAACTGTATGCTCATTTAGTTAGAATTTTTTGCGTAAAAAAACGCGCTTTTACGACGCCGTTCTTTTCGGTATACATAATAATGTACTTCAGTTAAATAGATATTTCACTTAGTTATACGCGAATTTATGTATAAAGCGGTGCAATTATGAATACGCAGATCAAACCGCATTGGAAGTATAGAAGATAGAATATTCCTCTCTCATTTGGGCAGTAGATTTATTCATATTATTCTCTCACTTTATTTTACCGTAATGCTCCATATTTCTTAATAATACTAGTGCGTGCTCCACGACTGCTCACTATTTCCCTGACTATTCTATTGATTAACTTTATAAACTTGCTATCGATAGTGTTCAATGAATGCAGGTCAAGTAATTTTGCAAGTTATGAACACACACACTAATAACTTCAAGGAGAATTA